ATAAAATGGAAGAGTGTGCAATTCAAATCATTTCTATATCTCAGCCCTGTAGTCTACAGGCTGTGTCACTGGCCACATGGCCACAGTCTTTTTTTTTTTTTTTTTTTTTTTAGCTAGTTAGAACAGGATCTCCAGATTGGACTCGTAGTGGTTCTCCTGTTTTCAGCCTCCCCAGTGCTGGGCTTACAGGCACACCACCAGCCCAGTCTCAGTTACCCTCTCAGTGTGTCCTGGGGGTGGGGCTGGCATGGCAGGCCTGGAATGGAACCCCGTCCCTGCGTCTGCCTAAGCAGGTGCTTTAGTCTGCTGAGCTATCTGGGGGGCCCAGTGGCCACAGCCTTCATCAGGTTTTTGGGCTGTCTTTTCAGCAGCTTGCTAGGAACTTCCAGCTTTTCATTTATAGAATGAAGTATTACTTTCCCTTACAAGACCAACTTAGAACAAAATGACTTTGTAAATGTAAAATAAAGAGTGTGATGAAGTACTTAATAAATGTTACTCATTTTCTCAACTCAGAATGGGTAGATTTGGGTTCTGTCTTAGTTACTTTTCAGTCACCCGACACTCAAAATTAGGGAAGGAAAGGTTTATTGAGCTCCCGGTTACTGGAGGTTTCAGTCCATACTTCACGGACTCCAAGGCACATGGCAGCAGTTCATTGCGGCAGAAAATAATGAAGAGCAGAGGAGGAGCAGCAGCTGCTGCATCCATCACGCCCCCTCTCTTCCTTCTAGGCTGACTGCGAAGACCAGGCTTCCCCACGGAGATCAGAGCTCCCCCGAAGCGGCAGGGCTGCAGTGGCGCGAGGAAGGTTGGGCCTTCCCCGAGGAAGCAGGGTGGGGAAGCCTTCCTCAGCTCCATGTGCACTTTCTGTGCTCAGTCACTCTGGGGTGGGCTGTGGCGCCCCAGGGAGGAACCAACCGCGCTCTGTGGCAGGGTCCCAGGACCCGGGAACCTCTCTGAGCCACCCAGCCAAGCTTCCTACATCTCGAGTTGACATAGTGTATCAACTACCGCAGGTTCCCAGGAAGAGGCCAACCAGTGAGTTCAGTATTTTTATAAAATCTGTAGAAGGAGCTGCGGCACCATGTATTTGGGTATGTGGGGGGCTTCATCAGAGATGGGGCAGAAGGCAGGCTTGGACTTTAACCCTCCTGAACAGTGAACTACATAAACCTCTTTCTTTATAGAGTACTTAGAATGAGAAAGTCTGTGCTGGCAACTAATGCAGTCGACCTTAGGAAACTACCTTAGGAAACTACCATCCTTTGGGGTAGGAACTGTGTAAGACAGAACGTGTTTACATTCTTCAGTTTGTAGCATACAAATCTGTAGGGAGTTCAGAAAGGACCTGCAGACTTCCCTGTGAAATTGTGTGTTTTGTTTACTCATGTCTCCCTAGTATTTCCGGCCAACTTTGCTGTTAGAAGGACTAGGTCATCGTTGTGTCACTCTAGATCTTATGAAGCTGTTGAAGGAAGTGGGAAGCAGAGAGCTGGCAGCCCAGTGAACCACTATCTATTCTTGACACAGAAGTCTTTCAGGAAGCTAAGAAGAGCATTCTATTACTGCTTCCTGGGTTTTGTGTGGTCAGTTCTAACACATTAGTAATTTTTACTCTTTATTTTTCATTGCTAAATTAAAACTCACTTTAATATCTAGTGCTTTTGTTTTTGAGGTGTTGGAGATTGAACTCAGTGTCTCAGGAATGCTAGCCAAGTGCTGTGCCACTGAGCTTCATCTTACCCCCAAGTTCTTTTTCTTAATGAGGGACTCTTAATTTGTGTATGTCCCAGGCCCTACTAAATCCACAGCTGCCACCAAGGCCTTTGAAAGTGCCACAGTGGCAACAGGAGAGCTCTTGACTCTGCAAGGTTAGGAGGGGAGGGGAGAAAGCAGAACCCACAGGAAGAAGGGAGCTGAAAAGAAAATTTTCCTTTGTCCCATTTTTCCCCAGAGTTGGCTGTTGGCCTATCAGGCATCAATTTTTTGTGCTCGTTTTTTTTGTGTGTGTTGTGTTATACAAAGCCATGTAGAAGATTTCAAGGAAATTAAAGATAGAAGTCTTATCTCTGAAAAAGATGTAGCCATCTCATTGGGAAGAGCAGCATCCCAAGCCCTGCTGGAAATTTAAGCAAGCTGAAATCAATTTTTTTTTTTTTTTTTTTTTGTATTTTAGGGAAGGGTCTACAGGGTGTTCAGGGTCTCACTACTAGATCAGACTCATAGTGATCTGCCTATTTACAGCCTCCCAAGAGCTGGGATTACAGGTGTGTGCCACCACACACAGGCTCAATCACCCTGGGGGCGGGGCCAGCACTGCAGGCTCAGGGATTGAACCCCTGGCCCCTGCGCCTGTTTGCAGGCACTTTAATCTGCTGAGCTATTTGGCTGGCCCTGAAATAAAAGTTGAGTGAACACAAAATGTCTGTGATGGTTTTGGTATGAAAAGCACAGGAGGGTTGGCTTGGCTTACTGATTTATTTTATTTTTATTTTTATTTTTTAATGTATTTGGTTGTTACAGGGTCTCACTATGCAGCTTAGACTCATAGTGATCTCCTATTTTCAGCCTCCTCAGTGCTGGAATGATAAGCATGCACCACCATGCCCAGACTCTGGCTCAGCCCACCTTGGGGGTGGGGTTGGTGCTGCATGTGATGCCAGGCATCAAACTGTGGTCCCTGCACTTGCCTAAGCAGGTGCGTTGTCTGCTGAGCTATCTCGCTGGCCCCTTATTTATTTTAACTTGGCAAAATTCCCTTAAGATCTATTTAACTTGTTGCAAGTATTAGTAGTTTGTTCTATTTATGCCATTCCATAAGTGGATGTGCCTCTGTTTGTTCACACATTCGTCAGCTGATGGGCCTTTGCATTTTCAGTTTGACCCTATTATGAATAAGGATTATTATGGCTGTTTTAGTGCAAGAAAAGAAAAGAAGCACAAGAGGGCTCAGTATGTGGTGAAGCCTCAAGGCGGCCTCTAACACGGCTTGAGTCCTGCTGCAGGAGCTGGCTGCCTCTGTGCTCCTGGACGAGGCCCTCCTTGTTGCATGGTACAGTGTGCTCCACTCTCATGTGAAGGCAGATGCTGGGGGACAGGGATCGTGGCAGGGAACCAAAGCAGCTGTCCCAAGTGAACCTAAGTGAACAGAAGCAGATTGATAGGTGAATGAAGTATGGGCACCTGAGGGATGAGTTAGGTGAGCAGCCGTTCGAGTGTGGCCTTGGGAGCACTCTCAGGTTAAGCTGTGCCTCTCCGCTGAGGTTCAGGCTCCACTTCCATTTAAGCTGATGACTGGCCAAGACCAGCCAGCCCGTGGTGTGACTACTTGACAGTCACCATGCTCAATAGTAGGGTGACCTTATTTTCCGAGCCACTGCAGGCTTTAATTACATATGGTTCCCAGGGCAGAGGTTAGGGGCCTTTCCATATCTGAGATGTGCAGTGAGGCAATTTCTAGCAGAACAGTACTCTTTTTTTTTTAATAAAAAAGTATCAAATTTATTTTATTTTTTTAAATTAGAGCTGTTGGATAATGACTAACTTACAATGTATCACCAGAGGTGCAGTAAACGTTAATAAGCTATTAAATGCTACAGTAAATAAAATTACTAGATCATGCATCTAGAAAAGTCATGTTTAATAGTCAAAAGTTCTGGTTATAGGTAATAATTGAAAAATCTTTTAGTCTAGACCTAACTATAGCACATCCTTATTTTAAAATAATTTATCTTGTTCGTGTAATTACTATTATGCCCAACCAAATTTTTCCTACTTTTAGGTCTTTACCACTTAGGCAGTATGGTTTACATGTGAACTCTTTCAGAGCTCCTTAAACAAAAACAGAGTAGTAATCTTCACCTCAACCTGTCTAACCAGAAGTACAGGACGTCATTACCATGAAAGTTAAAACAAAGAATGGAACAGAAAACAAGTATTATCTATATAATGAGCAAATTATCTGATAATACATTTTAACTCGGAATATTAACTTGGACACATTAACTGTGGAATATTTCAGTTTTAGCACAAGAAAAAAATGCTTGCAAGGTATTGCAGTGTTTGGCATTTTTACTGCAAATTTTAAATCAGCGTTACTCAAAAACTCATCTCTAAGAAAGTGGCAGTGTTTATAAGTACAAAAATTATTACATCTAGTAGATGGTACTATACATAGACAAAACAAGTTTTTTAAAAAATAGGTTTAAAAAAATGCAGAATGTCTTGATGATAACCAGTTGTCTAAAAAGCTAAAATCAGAAATAGATGTACTTGTTAATATTACTTTGCTCTGAAAGTTAGAATGATTCCAGGAAGTAATGATTTAAAAAGAAACATGATTAATATACTGTCTCTTTTAAGCCCAAGCAAACTTTCACTTCAAAGAGGGCAGATTTGACTTTAACATTCTTAAAAGTACAGGACTCTTTTAAACCATTATCGAATTCAAAAAGTCATTTGTTTCTACAGGGCATTTGTATTTTAGAACATAGGTTAAAAAACGGCAAATCACTAAGTGAGTGCCAAAGAATTTGTACTACAGGTTGAATATCCCTCTTCTGAAATGCCTGGAACCAGAAAGGTTTTAGATGTTTTCACATTTTGGAGTATTTGCATATACATAAGACATCCTGAAGCAATCATGTTTCCTATAGCCTGGAAAAATGCTTTTAGTGCCTTTGTATTTTGCTTGAGACCCATCAGAGGTCAGCTGTGGAGTTGGCCACTCGCAGCACCACATCTGTGGGCACAAAGTTTGGGATTCCAGAGTATTCTGGGTTCGGCATCAGGATGCTCCACCAGTATAATCATTACAACTGTATACTAACTGCCAGTGGTCACCAACAAACATCGATGCCCAGGCCTAAAAGTTACTAGAGTATCGAGGTCAGATTCCAGAATGATTCTTCTACATGGACAGTAATAACTTCCATAAAGTCCAAAGGAACCTTATGGGGTCCTTCCAAAGCTGTGTAATTTCCCAAATGACTTTTTTCTTTTTTGCTTGCAGAGCCTGCTCATCCCTTCACTCTCTTTTCAGTCGTTTAGCTTTTGCAATATTTTCTTGACGTTTTTGTTTCTTCTTTTGTTCCTTCTCCCAGGCTTCAATCATCTTGGCCAATTTCCAGGACAAGACCGCACTTGCTAGGAACAGTGGAGTAAGGGCCAAAATAACGGTTGTAAGGAAACCATACGGGTCCTTTGCAGCCCATTCCACTACATATTCCGCCCAAGCCTTGACATCAAACATCTCGGTAGTGGTCCTAAGAAAACTTATGCTTGAGCAGCGACCTCTAACTGTCCCGGAGCCAGTCAACTTCAGGTGAGCCCTGGCTGGCAGCTGTCTTCTTTGGCTTGAAGGCGCGCTCTTCTGAAGTTTACATTCCCTTCTTCCCCCGACAGCGCGGCGGCGCAGGAGCCTCGCGCGCGCCTGGCCCCCCGCCCCGGGGGTGCTCAGCGCCGGCCGCGCTGGCCCCCCAGGACCAGAACAGTACTCTTTACTCTTCCTGGTTAAATATCCTGCTGATAGTTCTGATAGTAAGGTTTTAAGGGCTTTCTTGCACGTAGCCTATGTTTACCCATTACAGAATGGTAGTACTTCTCTAGGACGGTTGAGGTGCTTGAGGGTCTCCACGGCTACATTTGTTTTGGTTGGAGCTGCTCTGTGTTTGGGGAGAAAGGAAACTCAGTGATTCCCTAGAGATGGAAAATGAGAACTGGGGCCAAGAGGCACAAGCAAGGAGAAGGACTCGCAGGCCTTGGCATCCTGTGATGGGCGGCAAGCTCTGAGGGCAGGAAGGCCGGGGGAGCCCTGGAGTGCAGGCAGGCACACAGGGGTGGGCGTGCACGATCTCCCAGGTCTGAGGTGAGCAGGTGACAGTGGGGTTGATTAAGGCTCATTTGGAAGTTTTGTCTCTCCCTTGTAACCTCGGAGGAGATTTTCTGTCTTCACAAACAACGTTAGGCTCTTATGGAACTTGTGCCCTGGGCTGTGCTATACCCTGGCAGGCAGAGGAAAGAGGTCAGAGCTGGGGGTGGCCTTGAGCCCTTCAGCTTCCTGGGGGTGGGATTTGCTGACATCTTGGGAAAGGCATGAAATGGTGTTGGGGGCCAGATGAATCCAGCTTTCTGGAAGCCCACGCTTCGCCACTGACTTGGGGCTGGAATTGCATGGAACCTGGCTAATATTACCCACAGTGCTTCAGGAGCCACAGGGGACAAAGGTCTTTTCTGGCCATGTTCATGTTTTTAGTCTTTTTTGTGTTTTGAAGATGGACCATAGAATTCACTTTACTTATGTCCTTGTAGTTTTAGAGGATGCACCTATGTGTACATGCACTCCACATATGAAGCACATGCAAGTGTTCACTGAATGCATGATCTTCCTGCCACTTGCACTTCTATTCAGTCTGCATTTGGTTGTGCTTCCCACTAATGGTCGAGTGGGTAGAGTCTTGGATTTTCCTCCTGTTGAGAAAATTAACTTCACAATCTTGACCCTGGTTTGTACAGACCTACACACTAAGCCTGAGAAAACCTTTCTCAGTCACTTCCTTTGTCTTTAAAATATGTTCCACTTGCTTAAAGACAGAATTTAGAGGGAGCAATAAAAATGCAGAGTATTTAACTTCTTCCTGAGCATGTCATAGCGTCTGCATCATGATTATGTTTGCTCATTAACTTCATAATGACTCTGGAGTCTAATGTTATCTGTTGGAGTTGTGCGTTTTCTATTTAAGGCTGAGCCTGGGTAGGCAGCCTGCACCCGGCAGAAGAGCAGGCTCCCACAGGCTCTCCGTGGATGGTGCCCATCATGCCCTGGGGCTGCGCTTTCCATTACCTCCCATTGGCTCGTATCTAATAGCTGCCTGTCAGTGAAGAAGAGAAATAGTTTTCCACTTCTCAAAAAAGATCTTTCATGTTTCTGGAACTGATGCAGGCTGCGGATGGAGCGTCTGGCCCTTGGCTCGTGGTCTCTGCTATTGACTAGTTTGGGGGGAAGAGGCTGATGAAAACTTGTCTTGGGAGTTTTAATTATCTTTAACTACACACTCACTGAACTTATATTTCGAATCTTCGTGTAAAGATTTAAATTGAGTAAGAATGTGATTTAACCTCCTTGACCTCTTTTTAGTGATGGGAAATAATAACAGATGAGCATGGACCACCAATCACTTGGCGATTCATCATTAAATGTTGCATAACTACATTCCCTTGTAAGGGAATCAGCCAGATATAAAAATGCACACTTGTGGAGTTTCTTAAAATTATGCCTTTAAAGTCAAGTTTTCAGCAAGCGGGTACCTGGGCGATGGGTTTGATCCCCTGGCCTGCTGTGCTGGCCCTGCCTCCTGGGGTGCGCTGAGACAGTGGGGTGGCACACGCCTGTAATCCCAGCTCTTGGGAGGGTAAATAGGCAGATTACTCTGCATTCAATCTAGTAGTGAGACCCTGAACAGTCTGTAGACACTTCCCTAAAATATGATGATGATAATGATGATGATGATGATGATAATAATAATAATAAAGTCAAGTTTCAGGCCACTGGCACTGAAGTGAAATAGGATTGGGCTCAGCACAGTAAGAGAAAATTGGCAAGTGCAAAGAAATCAGGCTGATATTTTTTCATCCAAGAGCAAAGATTAATGCAGACTATTAAAAGGTGTTATAAAAATTCTGACAAAGTACATCATGGATCTTCCAGTTAAATCTCTTCCCCTGCCTTTCTCAGAGTTTCTTAAAGGTAATGCTTGGCATTCTGTGGGAATTTTTTGTTGTGGTCTGTGGGGTAAGATGGAGTGGCATGTGCGTGATGGTAGGGGAGGGTCATCTGCTAATTTCAGCATACAGGAGGGGTTTTCAACAGCAAGACTTGGCATTTGCAGTGAGATGAATGATTTCCTTCCTTCCTTCCTTTCTTTCTGTCTGACTGTCTTTCTTTCTTTCTTTTTGAGACAGGGTCCTGCTATGTGACCCAGGCTGGCCTCAAACTCACAGCCATCCTCCTGCCTCAACTTCCCAAGTGCTGGGAGTTACAAACATATGCCAGAATAACCTTAAAATAATCTAATCATTGACCAGGTTAAAAAAAAAAGTCCCATATAATACAAGTAAAAAGAAAGCAGGATCTCAAGCACTAACTAATCAAGAGAGGGAAAGGAGAAGAGCTAGGAAACATGAGTACATTAAGCCATACAGTTATATGTAGAAGATGAGCAAGGCAATGATCCTGAGAATCATCAGAAGATTTTTTAATCTAGCAGTTAATTGGAAAGATTCTCACCCTGACTAACTATATATACTGTTACCTATGAAATAAGCTACTGCACTGCA